ATACAAAAAGTAAAAAATAAATAAATAAATCTTTATATATACACGGTTTTACCCATTTTGTCACATAACTGGCAGATTTTCTTTTGATCTTGGCTCAGCCAAAGTGAAACAGGAAGTGACATCAAAGGGGAACTCTTTGAGAAATGAAACTCTCTGGTGTTTATTTATAAAAACATTATTTGAACTCTAACTCTTCATCATCTCTGATAGACTCAAAAATTCAGTCTGTTAGCTGTCGTAACAACGCTCCGTTCACATGCAGACATTCCCCTTTTACATCACTTCCTGTTTCTTCACATCCAAATATCTCAACAACTGTTCCTCTCAGCAACGTGAAAATTGTTTTAGACTAAGTCATTAATGTTATCTCTCCAAAAAATGCATTCATATTTATTACAAAAATGTGATGACACAGAGGCTTTAAAGGGGTTAGTAGAGTAATTTGTCCTCATGGAACTGCCGTAGCTTCTGCAACAAAGATGCTTGTTTCACATTTTTCACTTCCCAAAATCCAAAGCTCTTAATTTACTGATCCGGCTACGCCCCAGCGGCTACAATTAACTTTTTATAGGTTCTGCATCAAAACGAGTCCACTGAGGGGGTTCAAGCAGCAGGGGTCAGATTTATAAAGCTTGTGTACGCCACTTTTCACGCAAAGGTTGTGATTTATAAAGGAAAGGTGCGTGGAAACACGTGTACGCACAGTTTTGTAAATCTGAATTTTTTTTTTACGCCATTTTCGTCTTTTGGCCGTACGTTCACTTTTAATATGGTTTCCACGGAATCCTTTATAAATCCGACCCCTGATTCGTTTCTCTCCTGGAACTGACACCAGATAAGAAATTCAAAAAGCATCAAAGGAGCTTTGATGACTGAGTTTTATTTTATTACGCATGCAGAGCTGCTTCCTGCAGAGCTGCTTCTGCTCCCTGAAGGAAACGTGAGCAGAAGTTCGTCTGCAGTTTGATCCTGATCGCTGCTGCTGCTGCCTCCGACCTGAGCCCACGTCACCGCAGAGGCAGGTGAGTCACTTGGAGCTGGCAGCTACGACTCATTACTGACSTAATAAAATAAAATCTGGAGTCTTCAATCCAACACGCAGCGAGCAGCAGCGGACAGGCTGCGACACGGCCGGTGATTCAGGCTCTGGAAGAYGTAACGAAGCCGAAAGCAAAAGCTGGTTTTGTGTTGAGTAACCGTGGTTTCACCAGCAGCATCGTTAACGAATCGCTGAGTCAGCGCAAAGATTATGTCTTTTAAAACAGCTCAAAATGAGAAAAACAATAATTGAGTCTCATGCAAGAACCGTTCGTGTGCGCAGATTTGTTCTTAGTTGTGCGTACGAGTGATTTAGGAGAATTTGTGGCATTCACCAATGTTTTCATATTCTAAGATTTTTTTCAGATATGAACAAAATTTACGAGTGGTCCAGACCTGTCGTATATTTTACCAGCAGTCAGTCTGCTGTTATCCAGACGGGTTTTCTTCATTAATAACTTTATATTTCGTTAGTTTGAAGATATTTTGAGTTGAAAATAAATCACACTCCATAATTATGTTGACAATAAGTTATTCTGCTTGAATTAGAGTTATAATTTTAAATGTAATAATTTAGACTAACAATATAAATTGTCCGTTCGTCCGTTTTCCGCTGCTTATCCGGGATCGGGTCATGTGGGCAGCAGAGAGACCCCGCTCTCCCCAGCGACACCTTCCAGCTCGTCCTGGGGGACTCCGAGACGTTCCCAGACCAGAGGGGATACATAATCCCTCCAGCGACTCCTGGATTTTCTCCAAAGTGCCAGACTTATTTTGAAAACATTTTAAAATGTTTATTTCAAACCCGCATCTGAGACCACCTGAGACGGCGCAGCGCGCGCGGGGGGTGTACAGTGCGCAGCGCTGTGTCTTCTGAATAAATGAAAATGATTTAACACAGTTGTTTATACTTTTAGCAGCTCTTTTTATTCCACAGCTGACCTGCTAAAAATGACAGATTTTCTTTTCTGGATCTCTGACAGACGGACTTCAATCTCTGAACTCGTAAAGTTTTTCTTTTTAGTATTCGCTGTCATTTTTCATGAATGGACACTTCCTGATATCTGAGGCAGGAAACACAGCCTTAWATGGTGTTTTTGGGGTGGTAATTATGCTAATCTCCTCTCGCGTGCACGAGCAGCTGGATAGAACAGGTGAATTTACGCAGCTCATTTACACACTTTTCCTGAAGATAGAAGAGTTTGTTGAATCTGACGTGACATGTTCGTACGAAGCCTTTGTACGAACAAAAGTAAGAGAAATTTAGGAGAAGAATACGAACATGTTCTTGCATGAGGCCCAATAACTTTGAAGCTGATAACGTTCAATATTTATCAGAAAATTTGTTTCAGTGCAATAAAAGCCAAATATTAATATAAACTTGAGCAGAAATGCAACTTTGGAAATAAAAACCTGAAAATTTGTGCCAAATAACAATTACAGATTTACAATTTTAAAAATGATTTTGGGTTTTTATTTCTGCATCTTCTAGACTTCAACCCAACTTTATTTCATCAAACTGAATCTTTTCTGTTAAATTACAAACATTAAAAAAACAACTGGACTTTACTGATCCGAGCCTCTGACAGTCTGAGCTCAACAAGACAAGACTTATTTGAGCTCAAATAAGCAGCAGAGCTCGGTCCGTTAATGACCGGGTGTGTTTGGTGAATCAGACGCTGAGAAACAACCAAACATCTATTATTTACAGGCTCAACCCTGAAATCCTCTGACTGTGAGAACGGTGCCGGCGTCTAGACGAGATTACACAAAAACACAAACTTCTTCGAAGAAGAAAAAATGATCAAGTCGAGTTTTCAGCAACAGATCACAGTTTTTGTCCATTAATATTTATTTCTTGTAGTCTCCCATAATTTCAGTATTTCCCTGCAGCTTCAGTCATATAAAAGCTTTTTTTTATTAACAACTAAAATAAAAGCGTARCAGGTCGTACCCCTAAAACCGCCATGCGTGGACTGTGGGTGGAGCAGCAGCCACGTCACTTCTGGTCGTGTGTCCGACAGCGTTAGCTGCTCATCGTGGAGAGCCTCTCATCAAAGCCTGGAAACAAACAGAGAACAAAGGTTTACTTTGAAATCTCAAGTATGGCCGCTTATCAATTAATCGTTAGTTGATCGATAAGATCAATCAACTKTAGATTAATCCATTAATCGATAACTTGGATCCCTAGTACAAGTAGTACTTTACAGTGTTTATAAAAGAAAGTGTGAAAACAGTTTCTATGCAGGAAATACCAGGTAGAGCTCAGTTATTATTTGTTCGTGGTGCTCAGAAACATGACGCTTCCTGCGTAGGGCTGCCACAATTAATCGATGACTAATCGATTATTAAAATAATCGATGACTAATTTAATAAATTGATTAATCGTTTTGTTGTTGTTCTTTACTTTGTTTTTCTCTCCAAAACTGCTTTGACACCTTCCACTGCCACGTCTGCCTTTCTGTCCTTGACACACATGCACAGTAGTGGTAACTGGGGTAGGCCGTGGACGTCACAAGACATTATACAGACAGGCTCTGGTATCATGGCTACCTGGCAATGGAGCTTCAAAGTGTGGGATCATTTTAAGAAAATGAAAGAGAAACCTGTGTAATATCTGCAGAGCAGAACTTACCTTCCACAGCAATTATTTTTAGTTAGCATATAGCTAAAATCTAACCATGGTTATATAATAGCAGCTGCATTCTGACGCTATAAGCTCTATGTTTTATATTCAATTAACGTATGATCTGATTGGTCGACTAATCGAATAAATAATCGGTGATTAATCGATTATAAAAATAATCGTTTGTGGCAGCCCTATTCCTGTGTAGTTGAAATTAAAGACAAAATGTCTAATTTAATTACAAACAGTGATGCTCTTGTGGTGAAAAGGAGTTGGACACGGCTGCGCTGAAAGGAAATCCCTGCAAACAGAGCAGTGAGTTAAAGGGTGGTTTTTTGATTTATTTTGTCTGCTAATTCACTGAGTCACTTCAAAAAAAAAAAGATTTATGACCTGAGGAATAAAGTCCTTCAGATTGACAGCGTTTGCTGAATTACATCAGCTAACAGCTGGCAGGTACACACAGAGGCAGACACACACACTTGGGTAAAAACAAAGAGCGCCTGTTGGTCTGCCTGTTGGCCACTGGGCTGTTTGGATTCAGGGTGAATTGGCAGCCAGCTGGAGAGACCAGGACTGAAGGCCTGGAGCCAGGAGGAGAGACCTCTGCTTGTTGTGAAACTCTGGCTTCAATCCAACCCTGGGTCGCAAACACTCAAACACAAACTCAAGTTCCTTCACACACACACAACCACCATCACACAAACACACACACATTGTCTCCTCTTAATTCTGTTTGATGGCCCTGAATCCCCCGCCTCCCCTCCAGGCCAGGACTGGGGGGAAATCAGTCAGACAATAGTGGGGTGGGCCGATCCAAAGAGAAGCAGACCGCGGCGAGCCGGGAGACCAAACACGGCGCCGAGGAGCAGCTCCGCTGGAATAATGGAGCTTTGAGTGGAGGAGGTGACGGCCAGCAGTGGAGTTATTCAAACTAATTTGTCTCAGAGTTCAGACGAAAGAAGAAAAAATGAGCCTTGAACAGAAAGAGCAGCTACAACTGCTGAAACGTTTCAATGTAAAGATAAAAAGAACAGCCGAAAAACAAACAGAAAACATCTGAAGATAAGATTCGTCGTTTTAACCTTAAAGTCAGAGCGAACTGCCAGATATCAGAGATGAGAACATCAAGAACTTTGTCTTCCCAGAAAGATCAATAATCTCTCTTCACAAACAAACTTCAGCACAAGCACTCTGACGTTTCTCCAGTAAATTCTCTTTACTTGGATAAAATTAGAAAATTATTTTAGACATGATGGTGATTCAAGTAAATAAAATCAAAAGGTTTGTTGCAGAGAGAAGCTCAGAGCTAAAGGATCTGAAGACCCATCCATCAGGTCGAGGTGGCMGCAGGTCTTAAAACGGAAACACAGACTTCCCTAGCTTAAAGTACTAAAAGACTAGCTACAAGTGCCAAAACAAAAGTCTAGCTAAAAGTAGCAACAGGTCAGATAAAAGTACCAAACGACTAGCTAAGTGTCAAAAGACTAGCTAAAAGTAGCAAGAGGTCAGGTTAAAGTACCAAATGACTAGCTAAAAGTAGCAACAGGTCATATAAAAGCACCAAAAGACTAGCTAAAAGTGTCAAAAGACTAGCTAAAAGTAGCAACAGGTCAGATAAAAGCACCAAAAGACTAGCTAAAAGTGTCAAAAGACTAGCTAAAAGTAGCAACAGGTCAGATAAAAGTACCAAAAGACTAGCTAAAAGTAGCAACAGGTCAGATAAAAGCACCAAAAGACTAGCTAAAAGTGTCAAAAGACTAGCTAAAAGTAGCAAGAGGTCAGATAAAAGTACCAAAAGACTAGCTAAAAGTAGCAACAGGTCAGATAAAAGTACCAAAAGACTAGCTAAAAGTAGCAACAGGTCAGATAAAAGCACCAAAAGACTAGCTAAAAGTAGCAACAGGTCAGATAAAAGTACCAAAAGACTTTCTAAGTGTCAAAAGACTAGCTAAACGTAGCAAGAGGTCAGATAAAAGTACCAAAAGACTAGCTAAAAGTACCAAAAGACTAGATAAAAGTACCAAAAGACTAGCTAAAAGTGTCAAAAGACTAGCTAAAAGTAGCAAGAGGTCAGATAAAAGTACCAAAAGACTAGCTAAAAGTACCAAAAGACTAGATAAAAGTACCAAAAGACTAGCTAAAAGTGTCAAAAGACTAGCTAAAAGTAGCAAAAGACTAGCTAAAAGT